GTTCAGAAGAACAGCATTTATTTGAAATAGAAATCTTTTGTAACATTATAAATGTCTTTACTGGCACTTTTTGATTAATTTAAAGTGTCCTTGATGAATAAAAGCAGTATAAGTTTAGTATCTTTGAGATACTATTATAGTTTTGAATAACATTTTTAAATTAATAATTAGTTTTTAGTTTGAAATTTCAGTTTTTATATTCATTTTAGTTTTTTGTGTTTTTGAAATTTTTATTTTTATTAATGTATGTTTAATTAATATATTAATTATTATTAATGTATCAGGTTAAACTAAATTAATAGTAGAAATGTTGCCTTGGCAACTAGCTAAAATAAAGCAAGTTTTTAAAATATTTTATTTTAGTATGTTTAGTATATTTCAGTTGAAGTTTATTTTATATTTCGAGTCAATACATTTTTTTATGGTAGCTGAAATAAAATAAGTTTATGTTTTATTTTAGTATATTTAACATATTTATATAATATTTGTATTTATTTTATTTTATTTCAATTAATGAAAATGTTTCTTTGAATGGTTTTTATGATCGCTGAAATAAAATAAGCTTTCTAAAATATCTTATTTTAGTTTATTTAGTGTATTTTAGCTAAAGTTTATTTTATTTCAAGAAATGAAACTTTTTTTGAGGATTAACTATAATAACCCTGAATAAAAATACAAATTTTCAAAAAAACAAAAATAAACTTTTGAACAATATATCTTCTAAAAGTGCATTTTTTATGTGTTTAGTGGTACGTCAGCATATAGATGAACTCAAAATGTTGGATGAGGGGTAACAGAACTCCCACTGTGATTTCATGCGGTCTATAAAGCTGACCGACGTGACAAAAGCACAGAAGTGAGTGGACATGCAGAGCTTTACCTGGATAGTAGGAGCTTGGCACGGCGGTGCTCAGGGTGTTAGTCTTCAGGGTAAACGACGACGGCGAGGAGACAGCTTTCAGAAGAAGAAGTAAGCAAATAAAGAGCACATCTGGATTCTTAAAACACCAACAACCATTTAAATGTGACTTACATTTCTATATGCATCAAACGTGTCACCGTACACTTACTAAAATGAGCTTTATTTGTATTTTGATGTCATTTTAACCTTAAAAACTTCTCTTCTCTGCATCGGTGTTACTTTAGTATACTATTGATGTACCGTTACGCCATGTACTATTGCAGCGTCTGCTAACATTTGATTTTATTTATATATTTTCTGTTTTCATTTTAATTGCAGTTAAAGTTTTTGTCATGTTTTTAGAATATTTAATTGTAGTATACCACTGATACACTATTAAGCTTTTGTAAATATTTTGAATTAGTTAATTTTTATATGTTCTGTGTCCACTTTAATTTTATTTAAAATTGTAGAAATTTAGATAATTTTAAATAATTTTTAAAAATAAAATTTAAATAATTTTTAGAAACATTTTGTCTTTTTAAAAAAAAAATATGTCTGTCTTTATATTCCTAAAATATGTCCAATATGTCTTTATTTTTATATTTTCAAAAAATTTTAATGGTAGTAAAAATTTAGCAATTTTGTTATGTTTGTCATTTTTATTCATTTTTTAAATGTCTATATATTTTTTTATTACGTTTTAGTTTTATATTTTTTAGTATACTACTAATATGCTATTAAAGTTTTTATTCATATTTTTAATAAATTTTACATTTTTAACTTTAATTTTAAGGTTTTAGTAATTTTGTTCTGTATTTCTGTAATTTTTTAATTTATTTTATTTTTTATATATATCTATACAGTTTTTATTAAGTTTTATTTTATATTTTTTAGTATACTACTAATATGCTATTAAAGTTTTTATTAATTTTTTCTTAATTAATTTGACATTTTTAACTTTAATTTTAAGGTTTTAGTAATTTTGTTCTGTATTTCTGTAATTTTTTAATTTATTTTATTTTTTATATATATCTATACAGTTTTTATTAAGTTTTATTTTATATTTTTTAGTATACTACTAATATGCTATTAAAGTTTTTATTAATTTTTTCTTAATTAATTTGACATTTTTAACTTTAATTTTAAGGTTTTAGTAATTTTGTTCTGTATTTCTGTCATTTTTATTTATTTGTTTTTTTTCTATATATCTATACAGTTTTTATTAAGTTTTATTTTATATTTTTTAGTATACTACTAATATGCTATTAAAGTTTTTATTAATTTTTTCTTAATTAATTTGACATTTTTAACTTTAATTTTAAGGTTTTAGTAATTTTGTTCTGTATTTCTGTCATTTTTATTTATTTGTTTTTTTTCTATATATCTATACAGTTTTTATTAAGTTTTATTTTATATTTTTTAGTATACTACTAATATGCTATTAAAGTTTTTATTAATTTTTTCTTAATTAATTTGACATTTTTAACTTTAATTTTAAGGTTTTAGTAATTTTGTTCTGTATTTCTGTCATTTTTATTTATTTGTTTTTTTTCTATATATCTATACAGTTTTTATTAAGTTTTATTTTATATTTTTTAGTATACTACTAATATGCTATTAAAGTTTTTATTAATTTTTTCTTAATTAATTTGACATTTTTAACTTTAATTTTAAGGTTTTAGTAATTTTGTTCTGTATTTCTGTCATTTTTATTTATTTGTTTTTTTTCTATATATCTATACAGTTTTTATTAAGTTTTATTTTATATTTTTTAGTATACTACTAATATGCTATTAAAGTTTTTATTAATTTTTTCTTAATTAATTTGACATTTTTAACTTTAATTTTAAGGTTTTAGTAATTTTGTTCTGTATTTCTGTCATTTTTATTTATTTGTTTTTTTTCTATATATCTATACAGTTTTTATTAAGTTTTATTTTATATTTTTTAGTATACTACTAATATGCTATTAAAGTTTTTATTAATTTTTTCTTAATTAATTTGACATTTTTAACTTTAATTTTAAGGTTTTAGTAATTTTGTTCTGTATTTCTGTCATTTTTATTTATTTGTTTTTTTTCTATATATCTATACAGTTTTTATTAAGTTTTATTTTATATTTTTTAGTATACTACTAATATGCTATTAAAGTTTTTATTAATTTTTTCTTAATTAATTTGACATTTTTAACTTTAATTTTAAGGTTTTAGTAATTTTGTTCTGTATTTCTGTCATTTTTATTTATTTGTTTTTTTTCTATATATCTATACAGTTTTTATTAAGTTTTATTTTATATTTTTTAGTATACTACTAATATGCTATTAAAGTTTTTATTAATTTTTTCTTAATTAATTTGACATTTTTAACTTTAATTTTAAGGTTTTAGTAATTTTGTTCTGTATTTCTGTCATTTTTATTTATTTGTTTTTTTTCTATATATCTATACAGTTTTTATTAAGTTTTATTTTATATTTTTTAGTATACTACTAATATGCTATTAAAGTTTTTATTAATTTTTTCTTAATTAATTTGACATTTTTAACTTTAATTTTAAGGTTTTAGTAATTTTGTTCTGTATTTCTGTCATTTTTATTTATTTGTTTTTTTTCTATATATCTATACAGTTTAAGTTTTAGTTTTATATTTTTTTAGTATACTACTAATATGCTATTAAAGTTTTTATTCATATTTTTAATAAATTTTACATTTTTAACTTTAATTTTAAGGTTTTAGTAATTTTGTTCTGTATTTCTGTCATTTTTATTTATTTGTTTTTTTTCTATATATCTATACAGTTTTTTTTATTGAGTTCGAGTTTTTAGTTTTAGATTATTTAGTTTTAGTTATTTTAGTACTTCAACTTAAAATAAATGAAAATGAGAAATGTTGCTTTGGGAACTAGCTATAAAAATATAATTAAAAATATATAATTTCAGCTAACATTTATTTAATTTCAAGTAATGATTTTTATGGTTTTGTTTTGTTATAATCAACAATATTGACCCGCTCTGACACGACATTAACTTGGCCGTGTTTTCATGCAGACTCGTTAGTGTTCAGCACACACGTTCGTTCTGGCTGTATGAGAATAATAAAGCGTCTGTCAATCACAGACAGCAGGAGAAGGTCACGCTAAGAGCCCGCCTTTATTTATTTATCCCTGTTTGTGGCCACTTCACAGAGCCACACGTCCATCACGGCGCGAGGAAGCCGAGGGACACGCGTGAAATATTAAACTACACCGTCATGTGATCAAAGAAGCTGTCGTTTAACTCGATATTTCACACTCACCGTGAGAGAATCTGGTCTCAATCAATCATAATAACGACTCATTTGAGCTGAATCGAATCTGGTGATGCGATAAATGAGGATGGAATTTACTTTTGATTTAATTTGGCAAAATTTGGATGAATAAATCAAAAGTAGGGATGAACACTTAATTGATTTGCGATGCATTGGTTGACTATTATGCCGTTAAGACATCCGCAACAAAAGAAATGTACAAAAGTGATTTTATGTCCATAGAAAGCACGTTAAATACAAGTAAAGTGTCTACTTTTAAGATAGTTTTTGGAGGATAAAATGTCAAAATTTGGTTGAAATAATGTTACATCGTCATTCAGTGTAACACAATATTTATATAAAAATTCAAACAACACGCTTATTCTGACGTGCACATATTAAAATATATAAAAGAATAAGAGAGCATATTAAATTTGATTGTGTTTTAAATGAGTAAAACATTCTTACTGACAAATGGGCGAAACCTAGGATAGAGGCACATTTAAAAATTGTAAAATTACAACTAATTAGTATTCGGGGTGAAAGTAATTAGTCGTTTAATGTGTCATAAATATATTTTTTTGTTGTTGTGAATACGCCTGACGAGATTGTTACACTGAATGATATTTTAGTGGAGCTCGTCTATAAATCAGGGGAAAATGTATCATATTTATTTTTTGCTCAGAAAAACAAACACAAAAATACAATTACGTTAAACAGAAAACTTTTTAATTTTTTGGGGGAAAAACAACAATTTTAAAGCAGTATTACTCGTATTGTTTTTATGCTTCAACCCTTTTTCGTCTTTGACCTGTTACTATTGTACATTATACATGTGCTTCTTGAAATATTAAGAACAATACAGTTTACTAAAGATTATTTTGTTATGGAATATCACACAATTTTTCATCTCTGATTTCATTTAAACAGTAATTATAGATGTTTTTAAATCTCTGAAAGCTTATTTTTATTCTTCAGCTTTAGAAACATTAGAAATAGGCATGAGATTGGTCTGTTTTTCTATTATCTTTGCTTTGGCACAGCACTTTGTTTGGGAAAAAAATGATAATAGTAAAATAAAGGGATTACATTTTAAAACTTAATTGTTAAAGTTTTATGCATTCATGTGATGACCACTATTTTTGATAATAAATATGTATTACATCATAAAACATAGCTAAATAAAAATAAATACATTTTTAAAAAACAAACACAGAATTTCTAACATATAATATAAAAAATTTATATAGGACTATTAATATTTAATATATTCTTAAACTGTTAAAGTTTTTGTTATTATTAAAATTGTAATACATTTTTTTAATTGTTATAGTTTTATTAATTCAGTTGATTAGATTATTAAGATTCAATTATATGATTAAAATGGATTCTAGAAACTTTTAAAACAGAAAAAAATAGAAATGAAAATTAATTAATTAATTAATACAATTTTATAGGACACTATTATTGATCAAAAGTTTTATGATTTTTAAAAATTGATAAAGTTTTATTAATTTAATTACTGAAAAGGAATGGAATCTAAAAAATTGTAAACAGAAAACAGAACTTCTGAAAAAATGAAGCATTTCATAGGGTACTATTTTTGTTAATATTTTTTATGTTAATGAAGCAGGTGGGTGGGGTCAGACACGAGCTGAGCTCTGATTGGCTGAGTGAAGCAGGTGGGCGGGACAGTGTGTCAAATCTCATTCATGTTCATGTTTAATTCATATAAGACACATCAAATCACTTTCAGATACTTTCTTTGGGTGTTTCTGACATTTGGCTGCAGACTCTCTGATATGGTCTTCATTGTAAGGACAGGAGTGCGAGTGAATGCTGGTTTCTGGGTGAACTATGGTGTGATGCTCAGAGACTCACTGCGTCCGTTGAGGTTGTGTGTGTCCATGAATGAAATGGCCTCGTCGCAGCTGGTGCCCTGCTCAGCGTAGCTCTTGTCCATGGAGTTCACCATCACCGTCATCTCCTGCCTCGTGCTGCTCAGCGTCTCCTTGCGCTTCTTCGCCAGTTTCCTTCAGAAAAACACACACAGATCACTGTCTGCGGTACTCTGAGAAGAAGACTTTTGCTTCCCAGATAGCACATGCACGTCTGCAAGAGGTCTGTTCATTTACAAAATATCTTCATGGAACATGATCTTTATTTAATATCCTAATGATTTTTGGCATAAAAGAGAAATGTATAATTGTGACCCATACAATGTATTGTTGGCTATTGCTACAAATACTGCTTTAGTGCTGCAGCGTCACATATTAGATGCATTAAATCCCTTTAGGATATTTTATTGACATGTCTGGAGTTTGCTCAGTACAGAAGAGAGCTCCAGACTCTTCTGTGGTCTTCAGTGTTTGCACAGACGAGGGTGTGTATGGTCTTTGGTGGACTGTGGTGTGATGCTGAGACTCACTGCGTCCGTTGAGGTTGTGTGTGTCCATGAATGAAATGGCCTCGTCGCAGCTGGTGCCCTGCTCAGCGTAGCTCTTGTCCATGGAGTTCACCATCACCGTCATCTCCTGCCTCGTGCTGCTCAGCGTCTCCTTGCGCTTCTTCGCCAGTTTCCTTCAGAAAAACACACACAGATCACTGTCTGCGGTACTCTGAGAAGAAGACTTTTGCTTCCCAGATAGCACATGCACGTCTGCAAGAGGTCTGTTAAAGATCGCTTCATCTGGAAAGCATCTGCTGTGTACAAACCTCTGTCAGACATCTGCAAGATGCATGCATTCTAAATCATCTTAAAGACATCTTCTAAACGTCTATTTGACATCTGATAGGAAACGTCCTATAGACGTTAAACAGACGTCTCTGTAATGTACGTGTGCTATCGGTGTTCTCTGTGTACGAGCGTAAGCCATGAGCGGAGAAACCTGCTGCATTCATGTAGGGAGAAAAAATTAAATAAAAATCGCACAATTTAGGCAACTTTTTTGTGACTATATATCAATATAACTAATTATCAGTATTATTATTGCTAAATAAAAATATAACACAAAATAAGAAATATTATTATTGTAATATTTCACTATTGTAACATAAAATAAAAAAGCATCTAGGGAAAAAAATTATAATTTTCCTTTACAGACTGTAAAAAACAACAACAACAACAACAACAAACTTACAGCTGCACAATTTAGCAATTTTTTGTGATTTCATATCAATGTATACTAATCATTTTCATCATTATTTCTTTATTAGTACTATTGTGTGATTTTATTGTAAAATAAAAATATCAAATATTTCCGAAAAAATTATAATGACAATATTTTTACTTTATAGAAAATGCCAAAAATACAGCTGCACAATTTAGCAAAAAGTTTTGTGATTTTATATCAATACAACTAATTACTTTATTATTAATAATAATAATAAATAAATAAATGAAAACAGTGAACAAAATAAGAAATAGTACTATTGTAATTTCACTATAAAATAAAAAAATCAAGTATTTAAGAAAAAAAATATTTTACATAAAACTGTTAAAAAATAAAATTACAGCAGCACAATTTAGCAATAATTTTTGCGATCAATATAACCAACCACTGTCATTATAATCACTAAATACAAATATTAAACAAAATAAGAAGTTACTATTGGAATATTTCACTAAAATTAATTTATTAATCTAATCACTCTGAAACATGCATCGCATATACATCATGAATATTTCATTAAATCACAGCCGTTGCAATTTGACAGTCACACTAAGCCATATCGCAATTTCAGGTTTTAATTGAGTTTCAGTTTTAATCGTAAGCCCTGGTGGATGGTTCTTTATCAAAGAAGGCGAATAAGACAGTTGCTCAAAATCGCCCAGCATGAGTGTGCTTCTGTCATTTTCATCCTCGAGCTCGATGAGGACGGCGATCTCGGTGTTCTCTGTGTACGAGCGTAAGCCATGAGCGGAGAAACCTGCTGCATTCATGTAGGGAGAAAAAATTAAATAAAAATCGCACAATTTAGGCAACTTTTTTGTGACTATATATCAATATAACTAATTATCAGTATTATTATTGCTAAATAAAAATATAACACAAAATAAGAAATATTATTATTGTAATATTTCACTATTGTAACATAAAATAAAAAAGCATCTAGGGAAAAAAATTATAATTTTCCTTTACAGACTGTAAAAAACAACAACAACAACAACAACAAACTTACAGCTGCACAATTTAGCAATTTTTTGTGATTTCATATCAATGTATACTAATCATTTTCATCATTATTTCTTTATTAGTACTATTGTGTGATTTTATTGTAAAATAAAAATATCAAATATTTCCGAAAAAATTATAATGACAATATTTTTACTTTATAGAAAATGCCAAAAATACAGCTGCACAATTTAGCAAAAAGTTTTGTGATTTTATATCAATACAACTAATTACTTTATTAATAATAATAATAATAAATAAATAAATGAAAACAGTGAACAAAATAAGAAATAGTACTATTGTAATTTCACTATAAAATAAAAAAATCAAGTATTTAAGAAAAAATATATTTTACATAAAACTGTTAAAAAATAAAATTACAGCAGCACAATTTAGCAATAATTTTTGCGATCAATATAACCAACCACTGTCATTATAATCACTAAATACAAATATTAAACAAAATAAGAAGTTACTATTGGAATATTTCACTAAAATTAATTTATTAATCTAATCACTCTGAAACATGCATCGCATATACATCATGCATATTTCATTAAATCACAGCCTTTCCAATTTGACAGTCACACTAAGCCATATCACAATTTCAGGTTTTAATTGAGTTTCAGTTTTAATCGTAAGCCCTGGTGGATGGTTCTTTATCAAAGAAGGTGAATAAGACAGTTGCTCAAAATCGCCCAGCATGAGTGTGCTTCTGTCATTTTCATCCTCGAGCTCGATGAGGACGGCGATCTCGTTAAACAGCGAACAGCAGCAGCGCTCCGAGTGGAGATTTCACTCACTAATGCACTCTCCTGAGAGCGTCCGTCACGCCGAACAGAACCGACTGCAGCTTCCCAGCGAGCGCTGGCTTGGCCTCTGGACCTCAGCTGCTCAAACACTCGTCTCGCTCGCTGCAGCTTTAATTAATGGAGGCTGCGAGGCTGGATGTGCGTCTTTGGAGATGATGACACTCAGTCAGGGGAGGCTGATGCAATATTAGTTTGTATTTGGGTTAACACTGCTCAGGTAACAGTGAAAACAGACCATCTACTGAATCACACTTATATATTATATATAAATACAGTATATATATATATATATATATATATGTACAGATACAAGCTGCAGAAACACTGCTGACACTGTAGCTCTGCTGAGACATCTATCTATCTATCTATCTATCTATCTATCTATCTATCTATCTATCATCCATCCATCCATCCATCCATCCATCCATCCATCCATCCATCCATCCATCCATCCATCCATCCATCCATCCATCCATCCATCCATCCATCCATCCATCCATCCATCCATCCATCCATCCATCCATCCATCTATCCATCTATCTATCGTTCTATCTATCTATCTATCCATCCATCCATCCATCCATCCATCCATCCTTCTATCTATATTTATAAAAAAAATTATACTGTATATATTTTTAAAGGGGTCCTATTATGCTTTTTCACTTTTTTAATTTTAGTCAGTGTGTAGTGTGTATGGTTGGGCATTAAAAAGATCTAGAAAGTTACAAATCTCAAAGTTCACTCCAAAGGGAGATATTTCGTTTTTTAATAAAAATCTATTTTCAAGAACTACAGCGAACGGCTCGTTTGGACTTCAGCGCTTGGTTTCAGGGCTTTGTGATGTCACAAAGCGGCTCATTAGAATATCATTACAAAGAATTCCCGCCTACAGAAATGTGAATGGTTGGGGGGTGGGGAGGGCAAGGTTAGAGCGCTTGGTTGAGTGAGCGCATGAGACGAGACGACGAAGAAGAAGAGCTGCTGCAGAGTTAGTGCATCAGAGAAAACCAAGAAGAAGAAGAGCTGCAGTGCTGTAGCCTCACATTTTCGGCATGTCTAGAACAATTCTTACAAGTATAACACGACGTAGCTGGGCGCCGCTGGTGTGCCTACACTCATAGAAAATAATGTATTTGAATTTTAAAGACGTGGCGCAACGCTGCGCTTCTCGTCCGGTGTGCGACCGCCTGAAACGCTGTTTTTTTTCACCTCCGTGTCCAAACGTCTTTGTTTGGGCTTCTGAAAGCGGATGATGTCAGGAAACAGTGGTTGCGATTTCTCTGTCCCTGAGCATTATAACCCCAATTTGCTATTGTGTGTTGCGCATTTGACTGAGGACAGCTTCCACATCACGAGTGAGTAGTGCCGGATTCGCCAAAAGCTTTTGTTGAAAGACGGAGTAAGAGGCGGGGCACTACTGAAACACCGTCTAAGCTGTTCACCAATCACAACGCACTGGGACAGCTAACCAATCACAACACATTTTGTTTTTCAGAAGGCGGAGCTTCATCAAAGCCGGAACTAATCGAATCGTTTGTGCCACACTGGGGAGAGAAGTGTTGTAATAATGTAAATTATATGAAAAATAATGCGTTTTTCGAACCAGCAAGCATGAGCGCATGTTCTAGTACACCCCCAAAACACAATCAAGACTTTGTAAAAGAGCATAATAGGACCCCTTTAAGTATATTTAAAATTATATGTAAACCTTTAGTTTTAAATTACATACTTACTTTTACTCGTAATATATATTTATTAATATTATATTACAAATGTTTACATTTAAATATATTTAAAATTACATATTATATATTTTTTATAATTATATATTTTATAAATTACACACTTTTTTTAAAATATGAAAATAATTATCATTATACTAAATTGATATATACAGCAACATTTAATTATATAATATGTAAAACTTTTATATTAAATATTTAATTAAATCATCATTAAAAATGTATATTAATATAAATGTATATTTACAAAATGTTTAAATTATATATATATATATATATACACACATATATATATACTGTATATATGCACACACACAAATATAAATGTATATAAAACTTTACTTTTAAATTCTATACTTATATTTACATTAAATACATACATATTTATATTATATTACAAGTGCATTTAAATACATTTAAATATATACTGTATGTATATATTTTATAAATTACACAAATTTTTTATATAAAATATTAAAATAATTATTATATATTACATTATATTTGTTATTTATAACAACTTTTAAATTACATAAGAAAACAATTATATTACATTTAAATATACAGATATATTATATTTTTTAAAATTATACACACATAAAATGTTTATTTTATGTATATTAAATATTAAGTATTAAGTATATTAAATTGTTAAAATTAACTTTTAGATTAAATAATAAGAAAATGTTTTTATTTTAAAAAAATCGTCATTATATTAAATTGATATGTTTATAAAACAACTTTTAAATTTTATATATATATATATATGCTTAAATTTTACATCAAAATATATGTTTACATTTAAATATACTTTAATTCATATATATATATATATATATATATTCTTATAA